CTTTTTTATTTCCTTTAGTTTCATTCCCTGATTACTATCCCCAACCCTAACCAAGTCTCCTCCCCTCCCTTCCCAGTAACACCCCCCCCCATTTCCCTCATAGTTATGCATTTCTGTGTGTCCTGCATTTCCTCGTGTGAATGTTGCCCCTCTGGTGCCCCATGGCCAATTGCTCCAAGGGATGCATCTCCATAGAGTATGTGTGTGCATCCCCCCAGGAGATGTGTGCATGTCTTATTTACTATTGGGCTGAGATCCAGCCCCTAGGAGTGAATTTTATTCTAGGCTCAAAGTGTATTCCTGGGCCATAGTATTGGGGGTCCCACCAGACTCCATCCAACCAGTAGTTCTGATCATTATTGTGTTTTTGGATTTTGTTCCACATCATTCCTCCCAATCTATCCAGTATCTCCAGTTTTGATCCCTTTCTAAGTGGTTGGCATTGGTAGCTGGAAACCATCTAGTTCTTCTGCTTTTGAGGTCCATCATGTCCTAGGGCTGATTGCTTCCAAATTTCCTTGGTTTTGTGCATTCTTCTTTGCTTCTGAAGATAGGAAACAATTAGCTGCATCTTAGATGGTCACTCAAAAGCTTTTAAGACCCCAGTCACTACTCACCAATGTAGGTTGTAAAACAAGATTTTTATGTATTTTGTTGTGTCAATTGAGTCTGGTGTCCCCCAATACTATGGCTCTGAGTTGGTAGATCCATTAGATCTCTCTCTTTATGAAAGAGCTAGATTTAATCCATACAAAGCTGGAATGCAACCTCCAATTTCCAGACTACATAGTAACAGAAAACATTTTTGAGTCTTGTACTTTCCAATTTCTCTATTTAACTTTGTTGTTGTTGTTATTTGCCATTGAGTCAGACCCGGCTGATAGTGACCCCTCCTTGGGTTTCCGAGGGAGTATCACTACGGAAATAGATTGCCCAACGTTCCTTTCGAGGAGTGGCTAGTGGGTTTGAACTGCCAGCCTTCTGGTTAGCAGTCAAGTCCCTTAGGCACTACACTACCAGAGCTCCTATATTTAGCTTAATAATTTTTTTTTTTTTAATTTTTATTTTGTGATTGAGGCTATTTCAGTAATTTAGAATTATTTATCATTCAGAAGGCAATAATAGGTTCAAAGCCACATTATATAGACAGATGGAGGAGTTATGAGTTATTATGGTGAATGGTTTTAGGCCTAGGTACCCCTTGGCAATTGCTATTTTGTTTTCTCCTTTGTACACAACAGACACTTATCAAGTGTTTATCAAAAAACCAAACTCACTGCCCTCAAGTCATTCCCGACTCATGGCTACCCCTCCTTGGGTTTCCCAAATGGTATCTCTACGGAAGCAGATTGCCCAACTTTCCTTCCAAGGAGTGGCTGGTGGGTTTGAACAGCTAGTCTTCTGGTTAGCAGTCAAATGCCTTAGGCACTGTGTTACCAGAGTTCCCAAGCACTTATTAAACAAATTAATTAAATCTTCATTAGGAGTTGATTTTTAGGACTTAACCATTTCAAAGTAGAATAATATTTGTTTGACAATAATAGTAGGCTGGAACTTTACCTAATCAAGATTTTAATTTACAAGCAACTCCCAAATCATAAACACATAATTAAAAATGATTCATATATACATTCTCTTCATTGGCCCCACGGCTAATAATGCCATGAAGGTCACTGCAGCAAAGTGGGAGATGACAATCTTATCTTCAGAGAATCTGTAGGTTATCAGGAAATAAAAGAAAGACACTACAAAAAGCCAAAGTATCTTGGGAGCTGATTAGATAGAAGACAATCCAAAGCATTATTATGCTCACTTAATAATACTTCTCTGTCATAATGTCTCAATCCGTTTGTTGTATTTTCCTCCTAGAATTCCAGTTAATGATGTCTGTTCATCAGTTTCTTCTCTTTTATGAATAATTTTAAATGATACAAATACATTTTCCCTACTTTAGAATAGTTATAAATTATTGTAAACCATTTTAATTAAATTGCTTTCTTTTTATATATTGTCTCACTTAAGCCACACTCAAGTGGCTGAGAGAGCTGACAGGTTTGTTTATTGCACAGAGAACTCTCAGGACTTAGGTGGTTTAAGCTTAGGTGGTTTGTCCCAGCATGAGAGCCCAGATAACATGAGGGTAAAGCATTGTATAACCGAATATGTTTGCAATATTGATTTTGAGTCCAAAAAATGGGGAGAAATCACTTCATCTCTATCCTCTTTGAGCATTTTTCTGGTTTCTTAGATCACTAATAATATCATTATTAATTGGATGAGTTCCAAATAACTAATTACTTACAAATTCTGGCACATATGTTACCTTCTAATAGTATTTCTGATTGTTATTTGGTGTCTTAACCCTATGTAAGTTTCAATAATAGCTAAGGTTTTATTGTGTTTTGAATCCATCAATGCTTCATATCACAGAGGCTCTCACTTCCCCTCCTAATGTCTGGACCTCCCAACAGTAGCCACAGAGGTCTTGGATAGTGGGGTGGGTCCTCAAAATGCTGAATGGAGACAAGACGTCTAAAGATTGTGTTAACTTAGTTACTACTACCTGTTTTCTATTATTACTGCTATGTGACCTCACATATACAAACAAGGTTTGGGAAAATTCAGCTTACCTGGATATTTAAAAAGCAATCAAACAAAATTCCTAAGAGAGGACACAGCTTATACAGCTTATAGTGTGTGCAATGATCAGTTGTAAAAGGTGATCTACCCTTTGCTAATACCAAATAAAACTAAAAAACCAAACTCACTGTCAATGAGTCGCATCTGACTCACAGCAACTCCTCCTTGGGTTTCCAAGGTGGTATCACTATGGAAGTAGATTGTCCAACCTTTCTTCTGAGGAGTGGCTGGTGGGTTTGAACCCCCAGCCTTTTGGTTAGCAGTCAATTGCCATAGGCACTAAGCCACCAGAGCTCTCACTGTGAATTGTTAAATATATTTCAAATCGAAGATCCTTCTTTAATCTAGTTTAAAGTCTTGACAACCTGGGAAACAGTAAGCACAACAGCCACAACAACAAGAATTTAGTCTCTTCCCACTGCTATGAGCAGTCCAAGCATAACTCCAAACAATAACAGAATGGAACTGGAAAATTCTGTAAGTATATAGAGATGATGCTATTGTGTTGAGGTGCTGTTTTATCGCCATTGCTGTAATTGTTTGTTTATTTTAGTTCTAAGCGTAGAAGTGATACAAAGTAAGCCTTGCTGTTGTTGTTATGTGCCGTCGAGTCGGACACGACTCATATAGCAAAAGCTAGCAGGAAGAGTTTTATCTCTCATTTCTTTTGTACCTACAACTTCATAATTCAGTGTGGTGAATTGCTTAATGTGGCTCTTCTAGCCACATTTTGTGATTCCCACCAGATGACTGGGTGGAACTATGCAA